GGGAGTCTGAGTGAGGGCAGTGTAATTACTGAAGTGGGTCAGGTGGACAGGACAGGGAGTCTGAGTGAGAACGCTGTAAAACCCGGAGTGGATCAGCCTGGCGTGCTGACTGGCACTGTGCCGTGTGTCACTCTGCAGGCCATGCGAAGGAGGCTCTGGAGATGGCGCGCATGCAGGAGCAGACGCTGCAGATGGAGCACCAGGGCAAGATGAAGGTCAGTCTGTCTGCAGGTTAAAGTCCCGGTGCCGCGTGGGGCCTGAATCGACTGACCGACTGACCTCCTTTCTCCTCGTGCGCGTCAGGAGTACGAGGCGGCGCTGGAGCAGCTGAAGACGGACCAGATCCGTGTCCAGGCAGAGGAGAGGCGGAAGACCCTGGGGGAGGAGACCAAGCAGCACCAGGCGGTGAGGGGGGGCGGGGCTGCAGGTGCGAGGAAGGCCAGGGAGAGCGGCCATGTGCTTGTGCTCATCTCCCACTCTCTCTCCCCAGAGAGCGCAGTACCAGGACAAGCTGGCGCGACAGAGGTACGAGGACCAGCTGAGACAGCAGGTGAGATGTCCCGGGACCGAGGGCCCAGGGGAGATAGTGGCTGTGGTGAAAGTTCAGGCTCGGAGGCTGGCTCACTGTCCCTTTGCCTGTTTGTAATCTCATAGCAACTGCTCAACGAGGAGAACCTGCGCAAGCAGGAGGAGTCCGTCCAGAAGCAGGAAGCCATGAGGAAAGGTAGGGCCTGCAGGCACTGCCTGTCCTCCTGTCCACCTGTCTGTCGTCTCTCCAGCCTGAGTGTCATTTGTCCTTCAGTGAGCGCTGTCTCTCTGAGTGACGGTGTGTGTGTGTGTGTGTGAGCGCTGTCTCTCTGAGTGATGGTGTGTGTGTGTGTGTGTGTGTGTGAGCGCTGTCTCTCTGAGTGATGGTGTGTGTGTGTGTGTGTGTGAGCGCTGTCTCTCTGAGTGATGGTGTGTGTGTGTGAGCTCTGTCTCTCTGAGTGATGGTGTGTGTGTGTGAGCGCTGTCTCT